CATACTATTCTAACAATGTTAATGCGACCCGAACCAGAACTGTGACCAGGTCTGGTCCTGGTCACGGTTCTGGTTCGGGTCGTTTGGCATTAATGATATTCTAATAAGAATAATGCAGCCCGAACCAGAATTGTGACCAGGACTGGTCCTGGTCACGGTTCTGGTTCGGGTCGATTGGCATTCGTGAGTGATATTCCAATATTATCAATGCAGCCCGAACCTGGATTGTGACCAGGACTGGTTCTGGTCATGGTTCTGGTTCGGGTCGATTGGCATTAAGAATGTTCTAATGATACCAATGCAACCCGAACCACTGCTGTGACCAGGACTGGTTCTGGTCATGGTTCTGGCTCGGGTCGATTGGCCTTGATACCATTCTAAAAGTATTAATGCCACCCGAACCACAACTGTGACCAAGCTTGATCATGGTCACGCTTCTGGTTTGGGTCGATGTGCATTCACAATTTACTGATTATGCTAATGCAACCCGAAACAGAACTGTGACCAGGACTGCTCCTGGTCATGATTCTTGTTCGGGTCGATTGACACTGAGAATGTTCTGCTGTATTAATGCTACCCGAACCACCGCTGTGACCAGGACTGGTTCTGGTCATGGTTCCGGCTTGGTCGCGTGATTCTGAATGTGTTCGAATCGTGTGACTCCGCCCTGACCAGGACCATGACTGGTCACAGTCATAGCCGTAGCCGCGAATTAATAATATTCCAACCCCACCCAGACCAAGACCAAAACCAGCCATAGCAAAGTCATAGTCCGACATTAACAATATTATTCGGAGGCCACCGATAGTTGAGTACGTCCAGGCCAGTTCTAGGCACAGTCATTGTTCGATAATGTTAACGTAGTTCGAATAATGTCCACCACAACCAACACCTGAACCATGCTGTGACAATGGCCGACTTCCCAGAACACAAGCCTCAGGCGCCCGACTCCCTGAGCCATGTGAAGAGCCGCAGGGGCGATGGCGCTGGCCACCTCGTCGGTGCTGCCCTGCGAACTCTGAGACAGATCGCCCACGTAACCTTGGGTTGCAACGCTGGGGTAAAACCTATGATGGAGGTCTCAAGTCTCTGGTACAGGCAGGCTTTAGTCCAGGGCATATTCTGGGAATATCCAGGAAGGACTCCCACGCCAGACCGGATAAGCTCAGCACAGAAACCTCCCGTCCCTCACATCTTGGCAGAGGGGTGGGTAAGCAAGCCCATGTACATGAGATGGGGAGGAACTTGCCATGTGCATCCCATCCTATCAGCAGGACAGGGGAGACGGTGCCAAACAACTTGCGCAGGTCCCAGTGCAGCGCCACGGACACGCTGCCCTCGAAGGCAACCAGCTCGTGGGACACCTCGCGCCGCAACGCCGCCTGAAGGGTCGAACTGCCCTTGATAGCGGTGTCCCAAAAAGCAATGCGTTCTCGAGTCCAATCGTCAAGAAAGGACCCACGGATCTTGGTATACACTCGATAGAGAATGGGACACTTGCAAACAGGCCTCTCATCAACGCTGCTTTTAGGGAGTAGGGCGATCACACTCAGCAGAACCTGCTCAGGCCACATGAGGGCCTTATCGCGCCCCCGATGCAGCTGGACCAGCGATTCAAACGCCGCGGGAGGGGCCGACAGGAAGTCCCTGGGTCTCCAGTGATCAACCCCCGCAGCGGTGCCCTCAGAAAAAAATCTACTGGCGGCGAACGCATCTTTGCACTCAATGTCAGGGAGCTCAGGCTGCACCTCAGCAGCTCGTCTGCGAAGCTCGGACATGGCTTCCCCCAACTCAGACTGATTTTCAGGGCTGGCGGTCCAAACGCCTCCCCACAGCTTAGCCCGATAGGCTATAATGTCAGCAGGAAGCTGCAAAACACGATTGGGGGGCCCAAACCAAGTCCAATGGGTTACCGACATCGTGCCTTAGCCACGCATGAGCTCTCTTATCCCCTTTGGGAAGGGATTTGACGAGACAGTCCTTGATCGTCTTGGCTGAATGCGATCGAGCATCAGACCAGTCCTTCCCGAGCGCAACGGGGCACTCACAGACCAGCGCATCACGAATATCAATATCCAAAGCCGAGCGCCCCGACTCCATCTGGGCCAGCTGAGCCTGCCGCGACTGCGCCGTCTGGGTCGGCGGCAGGCAGAAGCATGCTGCTCAACATGCCGCCCAAGATAGGAGACTCGCCGGGCAAGGTCTCGAAACATCTTGTCATGCCCACTGCCCGCGGCAACTCGTAACTCGAAAAGCTTCTGAGAGAGGTGGGACCAAAAGCAGAGGACGTTGTCGGAATACGTCTTAATATTATTATTTTAGCAGATAGCGCAGTCCTCCTCGTCTCGATAAAGCCCCCCCTGCCCGCGTACTGACATGCATCATGCTCATGCTCGCGTCCAGTACCAGGCGCGTAATTTTCAGATGCACGAGGCCACAGCAGATACGAGCTGGTAAGCTCCTCCGGGAGATGTCCCTGAACGTGGGAGAGCAAGTGAACCCCGGGATTCCGCGCCGGTGGGACCCAATCCCGACAAGCATACTCAAGATGCCGAATCCAAGGAAGCTCGTGTCCTTGGACTTCAGGGAAACAAGAGGTTTACATCTTTCGGTCATCTCTTGGAGCAGTGAATCATGCGGCAGGTCAACTTTCAAAGTGGCATAGGTCTTGAGTTGCGAGCTCCCATGCGTACTGACCTTCACGAACGGGGCGGTAGACTCTGATGTAGCAACGTAGTCGATCATCGTGCCCTGCCCGTGAGAGCACGTGAAGGCAACGTCCGACGGTGAAATGGCACAGGCTCTCGTCATCGGGAGAAACCACAGATTTGCATTACATTGATGCCAAATTGAAGTCCCCCGTAAGGACCCAGGGCGCAGCCAGGGTTCGAACAAAGGTATTGATCTCCCACCAGCAACGCCCAATCCAGCCACCATGTAGACTCCACCTACGTCCAGGACCGACTTCTGAGTGCGAAGCTCCAAACATATACATCCGTTTCCTGCGCCCACCTCTTTCGCGTTCCCATCGTGAGAAAGACATTTCTTAACGTACGAACCACGATGCACACGAGCCCCTACTCCCCCATGGGGACCCCCTTCAGAGGCACTCTGAGCGGGAACGAAGTGCGGGCGCCGCGTCATCGTGGCACACTCCCGCGTGACAGCTTTTAATTGGTGGAGGAGCTGGGGGTGTTCAGCACAGAAGAAGGCGTCAGCCGACTATGCAAGTGTGTACTGAAACTCTTGGCAACAGAGCTCCTCTGTTGCAAAAAAGAAGGTGGTGGACTTACTCACTTTGGCACTCTTCTGGCTAAACATGCGGCATCGCCGCCGCCGTCGGGCGCGCGAGGTTGGCGAAGTCGGCTGTGGCAGCGTCGGTCGCGGTCTTGATGCGCTTGGCAATGCGAGACTTGGACTTCTTGACCATGGGACTCTCCATCTCGGACAACTCTTCGGGACCAAGGACCACCTCGCAGGCGCGTTTGCGGAGTGCCTTGAGATCCTCGGCCTCTTGTTCACCGCCACCAACCCGAACAGCTTCGCCACCAGGCCCAGCAGCAGCACCATGCCCTTCATCAGGTACACCAAGATGTGGTTGCGCACGCCCTGCTTGCTGAGCGGCGGCTCGGGCCCGCTCTGCAGCAGCACGTTGTTGTAATTGATCATTCATCTTCTTCTTCTTCATCCATGCTTCTTCATGGAACTCCAGGAGGGCGCGGTCGGCGGCGTCCTTGGCAAGGGCGGCCTTCTGGTGCTCAGCGGTATCGTTGGCCACATTCGCCCGAGCCTCCACCAACTGCTCCTCCAACTTCTGAACCTTAGACATCCGATGCTGTACTTCTTGACTGGCCAAGCGTACCGCCCTGGCGGCATTCTCCACCGCGCGGGTGAGGAGGGTGCGCTCAGCCGAGGCTGCATCCTGCAGCCGCGCTGCAGTCCACTCTGGCTCCACGGCATGGTTCTCTTCCACAAACTGGGCCAGACCCGCTCGAAGATCGAGCTTAGCGGCAAGCAGAAGAGCAGCAGCAACACGAAGATCAGCATCAGCTGGATCTCCACCTCCTGCAGCTGCAGCTGGTCGATCATGTCCATGCCCAGCATACTCTCCTCCGCACTTCGTACAGCAGACGTTGCTGCCAGATCTGTACTCCCAGTGGCGACACACCGAACATACATCGTAAGGCTGTTTCTTGGAGTACTGCTTGCCACGTTGTTGATGCTTCCGCCACGGCGCTGCCCTGCGCCACGCCATGACTGGTAACCCGACGGCCTCCCCCGCGGGCAATAGGGGCTCCCGCTTCTCCTCCTCTCCTTTCTGCCCTTTTTTCTCCCTCCTCCCTCCTCCCTCCTCGATCCTCTCTCCTCCCCCCCCACCTCTCCCCCCCCCCGCTCCTAGGCTGGCTGGCTGACTGGCCGGCTAGCTGGCTGGCTGGCTGGCTGGCTGGCTGGCTGGCTGGCTGGCTGGTCGTCGCCGTCGTCGTCGTCGTCGTCGTCGTCGTCGTGCTGCTGCTGCTGCTGCTGCTGCTGCTGCTCCTTCTGCCTCTCCTGCGCCGTTCCCCCAGGCGGTCGGCCCTCGCGCATGGCTCCTCCGCCGCTGTCGCTCCCCCGCCCGTCTCGGGATGATGACCGCGGCTCGCCTTGGCCTCGAGGTGGCCCGCCCGTCGATGTTGTCGGCCGCCCGCCAAGCGTATCCACCGCCGCGCCCGAAGAGCGGTGTCGACAGCGCCGCGGATGGGTCGTGCTTGCTCCTCCTCCTCCTCCTCCTCCACCTCCCTCCTCCCTCCTCCCTCCTCCCTCCTCCCTCCCTCCCTCCTCCCTCCCCCTTTCTCCGCCTCCTCCTCCTCCTCCTCCTCCTTTTCCCGTTCTGGTCAAATCATCACTTTGGGTGCGAGGCGCACCGCAAACACGCAGCGAGCCCAGTCGACAAACAGACGAACCTCCCTGAGGCCACGAGCGCCTCCTCGCACCTCATTCCCCGACGGCGCCTCCGCCGCGAGGCACGCACCATGGAGGAGAGTTTCATCAGCAAGCACAACGCTTCCACAGAGGAGGTCGTTGAGCTGAACGTTGGCGGGACGTACTTTTCAGTGTCCAG